AACAAATCACCTATTGTACCTCCAATTCCATTAGAAAGAGATGATCTAGAATTCAAAAAACACAAGGCACCCATATTAGTTTAGTCTGCTTAGACATAACATCAGTGCTGGCCTTTCAGAAATGCTGTGGTAGCTGGGAATGAACCATGCAGACAGAAGTTCATGAAAGAGTTCAAGTGTTTGTTCTAGCCAGGAGGATGATTTGTCACGAAGTCAGGAAGGTCTCCTTGTTTTAATTCCACGTAATTGTCAAGTTCAGTGTCCCTAAAGTCCTCTATCAACTTTCTACAAATAGAGAAATATTGAAGAAACAAAGAAATTTTTCTGGAAATGTTTTCACTCAGTAGGTGTGTTGTTTCATACATTCTCTAATAAATACTGGCTCCTGTAATCACAAATGAAAGCTTCAGTCATAATATTGAGGAAGTAATGCAATATTCACAGGGTAAAAATGTACATTTCTGTATGTCATGTAAGTTCTTTTCTAGTACATTTTTATCAGGAAGCACTGTAACAACGGAATGCAGGACTATGTTAACTTTTTATCTGAATTTTCATTCTAAGAAAACATTTTTATATATCAAAAACTTGTTCAGACTCATGTCACAGGTAAACATATAAATACATTCCTGTAGAAGCTAATGGGGCAAGTCTTTGGGATTTGTTTATGAATTTGTTTTTGGTCACTGTTCTGTACCCTTAATCTATACAAGTGTTTCAGCCATGAATATTCTTTCCATTAGCCATGATTAACAGGGTCCCTAAGATGCTCTGACTCCCACTGGGCTCCCCAAATGAAGAGTTTATTCGTCTGGGGCCATTTACCTTTACAAGTTTAATTCCACACAGATGGTCAGCATCATAGATTTATGGAACTAAGATGAAGAGAACAAATATGAATTTAATGATAGCAAAAGGTTGGATCATCTCGTTCCCCTAGCAGGTAATCAGATTCATAAGCACAGACAGGGCCATGGGGTTAAACATTAAAACATTTTACACAATTGCGGGAAGTGTTGGCTTTGGAGCGGACTCTCCCCACAGAGCAGACTGCCCATCCTGATGTCGTGAGTCCCTTCAGTCACTCAGTCTCCCATGTATTTACTCCCATGTATTAATGAATAACTCTTCATTGTTACCCACTCTGATAAAAGAACATCCGCAGGTCGGAATGTGAGGCTGGGCTGGATTAAATCCTGGACTCCTGCCTAATCAGAAGAATTCCTTATATTTGTGAAATCCCACCCAGACAGCATGTTCAATGGCCCTTTTGTATTTAAAGAGGAATTAAAACACTTTGGTAAATTAATATGGCTACATTTGAAGTCAGTAGCAACAATGAAACCATAAAACGTATTCAAAACCATAAAAGTATCCAAAGCAGGTAGCATGCTTTGATTACTTCTCTGTGAAAGACCACATCCCACGGGTACAATCATTGACTTTTTTCTACATCATGTGACAAGTTTGACTTCACAGCTATATTACATTACCTCTGCCACATGATGCTGACTTTGCATAGCATACATGATTCAGTCTCTGCTGCAGCTGAGTTCCCTGAATAAAATCCATGAAAAGTACAATGAACATCTGCTTTAATGTGGTATGATTTCCATTAGAAATGATGCAAACAAAAGGCAGGGATATCTAAGAAAACTGCCTGCTCTGCCTCCCCAGACCAATGCAAATTCAACTTTGGAAGGACTCTGTCTCGTCAAAGAAGCTTTAAATAACAAAATATCAAGATATAAACGATAACCATCTTCCTGGAAAGGCAGGAGCCAAATAAGGGCACCTATGAACGAGGAAATAAAAATGTATTAGAATGCTTTGGCTAAAGGAGTTATTACTGCAGTTGAAAACAACACTTCACTTCCTCAGACGGCAGCCTAAGCAAAGGAAGAAATACGAGAGGTGTCCCAACGATTTCAAGCGCACCATTAATGGAGCAGTACTTCTGGTTCTAAGCTAGGGAATAGAGAGAATACAAGAATTTTGGTAGTAATAAAACAAAAAAGTGGAATAATTCTATTTTTGGCGAATGTCTAATAGGAGCCTTGCTCTAATGTGTGAAACTAAATCCCTGATTGTACTGTCCTCCTCATTTCCAATTCAATAAATGGCAATTCCATCCTTACAGTCACCAAGGCTGACTGGGACACATCTTCCATGACTACTCTTCCTTTCACAGCTGACTTGCTGGCAAATGCTGTCAGCTTTGCCTTCAAAAACATCCAGAATCTGATCACTTTTCAACCCTTCTCCACTGGCAGCACCCTTGCTGTTCCATTCTATTTGGATTTTATCAAAAATGTAAATCAGATCGTGCCAGGGTCCTGCTCAAAACCATTCAATACCCACCCTCCCTCCCCATCTGAAAATATAACCCCTTTCTTGGGAGGCCTCCAGAATCAAGTTGGCACTCCCACCTTGCTTGAACTGTCATCTGTCTTCGGCTGTACCTACTACTCTTCCCTCTTTTGTATCACTTAGCCACACTGGCATCTTTGCCATTTCAGAAAAATGCAGACCTTTTTATCAGGGCCCTTGCACCAGCTACTCCCTGTGCTTACGTGCACTTCTTGGAAGTGACTCCTTTGGCTCCCAGATCTTTGCTCAAATAATCCCAGCAGGATTTCCTCAGTCCTCCTGTTTGGCCCTTGAACACCACCTATGTCTAATAACATGGCATTTTTGTATCACCCTTTTCAGCTTTATCTGCCCCCTCAGAATTGTTCATTATCATGCATTTTGTTCACTTTTTTCCCCTTATTTCTATTTTCCTAATAGAATATAAGCCTTATAAAGCAGGGATTTTTTTCCCCTCTCCACAGCTTCACCATCACCTCATGTTTAGAACAAAATATGCTGTGAGAGATGGCATGGTGGTATAACAGGCTAACCCTCTGCCTGCAGCACCAGCATCCCATACAGGCACCAGTTTGAGTCCCGATTGCTCTACTTCTCATCCAGCTCCCTGCCTGTGATCTAGGAAGGCAGTGGAGGTTGGCCCAGGTCCTTGAACCTCTGCAACCAACCACATGAGAGACCTGGAAAGAAGCTCCTGACTTTTGATAAGCTCAGCTCTGGCTGTTGTGGTAATCTGGGGGAATGAACCAGTGGATGAGGGTCTCTCTGCCTCTCCTTTTCTCTGTAGAATCTTTCAAATAAAAATAATCTTTAAAAAAACAAAACAGGGCCTGGTATGATAGCCTAGTGGCTAAAGTCCTCATCATGCATGTGCCAGGATCCCATATGGGTGCGGTTTGTGTCCCAGCAGCCCTGCTTCCCATCTAGCTCCCAGCTTGTGGCCTGGGAAAGCTTTCAAGGACAGCCCAAAGCCTTGGAACCCTGTACTTGCAGGAGAGACCCGAAGGAGGCTCCTAGCTCCTGGCTCCTGGCTTTGGAACAGTTCAGCTCCAGTCATTGTGGCTGCTTGGGGAGTGAATCAATGGAAGATCTTCCTCTCTGTCTCTCCTCTTCTCTGTATATCTGACTTTCCAATATAAAAAGTAAATAAGTCTTTAAAACAAACAAAAACAAGGTAAGCTGTTTTTACTGAATAGTGGATATTCAGTAAGAATGAACTGCCCCGAGGTCAGAACTGTGGCAGCAAGTTGAGTCCTTTCCTAGTGACCTGCCAGTTCAAGACCCAGCTGCTGTGCTTATGAATCAATGCCCTGCTGATACACCTGGGAAGGTAACGGAAAGACGCCCGTCATCATCATCCATGTGACGCTCTCGGACAGAGTTCTGGACTCCTGCCTTTGCTTGGTCAAACAGGCTGTTGTGGCCATTCGGAGAGTACAAATGGATGAGGATGTCTATGTTTTTTTGGTTCACTATTTCCCTTACTTTCAAATAAAAAAATAAATAATAAACAAGCATTTAAAAAATGAGTATGTAAAAGCTAGATGCCAGGTTAAAGTCCACTTATAAAAAAAAGTAATTGTCAAGGTAGTTGAGCTACGGGGCCAGTGCCTATGGCATGAAGAGCAAGAAATGGTTAATGCTGAGCTGAGATCTATTAACTGGTGGTATCTGAGGTGACATATGACAATGCGCTGGATTAGGGGACTAACAGTCATAATTATGTTTATCTTGAAAATTTAAAGTACTGGATAAATTTTCACTGGTGCTCTCCCTTAATCTGGGCCTAAAAACATACCATTCATGGCTCTTGAGGTGTCCCAAGGGAAAGCAGAGTAGAAGTATTTAAATGTTACATATTTATATTATTATGATTTATTTCTACCCTGCTTCCCCACAAGCTTTTATATTTTGGAAAGCATTACAGTTTCAAGAGAATAAATTGGTAAAAGACTCCCAAATCTCTGCCCTTCATGTTTTATTTCATGACCCTAAACTTTAGACCAAGGAAATAAAATTCCCTACACAAATTAAGTAACATTTAAGTATGAAGACCACTCTGAGAAAAGAGTTCAAGGATAAGGGTTATCTTTCGTTAAAGTACAACGCAGAGACTGAAATACAACTCCTCCTCCTTCTCGGACGGAGCACTGACACTCTCTGAACACAACTGAGTTAAGTTCAAGTGTTCAGTTAGGCACTGGCAAAATGACATGACTACTAAGTGCTTCAAGATAAAATACCTAATGATTTAAACTGCCCAAAATTTCAAAACCTTGAATTTGATAGAAAATGAACCATGTTTTTTTCTGGCTGCTTAGATGAGATTCAGGCACTCTGGGAAGAATATTAAATTTTTATCGTCACCAAGGCTGTATTTAAATAGCCTCATACGCAACTTGCAAAGAGCCAGCTCTCGAGCAGGAGTTAATTTAGAAAAGCCTTCAATTATTTAATTACTAATAAGTTCTCTTATCAACAAGTAAGAGATGCTCTCCAAAGGGAACTGCAGCCCTTAAAAGCATTTCATCAGAAGAGTAATTCTGACTGTGGGTCCCATCTCCCCAGCTTTCACTTCTGGTTGCCTATTCTGTTATGCAAAAATGAACTCAGAGACCAAGTCAAGTATCTATTTTGAAAAGTATTTACTTAGTTTGAATAAATTAATTGCAAATAAAAATTAAGCTACAATATATAGCCTGAACAGAAATGACTAGAACAAATACAACACAGGACTGGATTTCCTTGCATTAGTCACAAAGCATGTGACCATTCAGATAACTTCAAAATCAATTATATTTCCTTAAAAGGGGTAACAGCAGTTATGGATACATTGCAACTAATAAACTTATAATACAAGTTTCCTGACATGCATTTCCTGAGTGAACCCAATGATCATTTTAAAAACAAGGAAATTTTGACAGATGAAATAAAATAAAATATTTCATGGCTTCTAAGCAAAAAGTTTTGTTTTTTTAAACCAAAAGAAAATTCAGAATGGTGTTGTAATAGGATAAATTAAAGCTACTGCTACCACATACAAAAATTTGCTACAGTCAATGCAGTATTATACAACTTTTAAAATCAAAGGAAAACAAATCAAAAGATTTTTTAAAAAGGCTAATCTAAAAGTGTACTGATCTGTACAAGTGTCAAAAAAGTCTGATGTAGTGCAGCTGGCTACTTTTCTTGTGGTACATTTTAAAACAGGGACAGGGGAATCTGGAGCAACAGTATTTCCCTTGCTTCTGAAAGCAAAGAACTTAGCAGAAGTAGAGCCTAAACAGACCATGCAAGTGTATCCTTCCATGCTGCTACCACTGACTGGCACTCATCTGCCAACCAATCCCTTGAGTCAGGCCGCGGCAGCTCTCCTTAGGATTTCAGCCTATCATTAAGGCCGGTCTGCTAGGTTAAACGAAACAAAAACAAAACCCAGGGGCACTATTGTAACCCAACCCTTGGTATCTCTAGATTTTTTTTAATGCCTGGATAGGGCTAAATACAGAATCATTAATTAATTGAACATTTGTTTTTCTAAATACAAATCAACTCACTCTTCTATCTTGTTAATTTATTCTTTTCCTCAAGGGAGTGATTTTTTTTTTTTCTTCTAGAAACCGTGAACAGATGAACCACAGTTTATATATCCAAAAAATAAACTTGCCAAATGTTGCTGATACTAAAAACAGATTAGTTGTTGTGGGAGAAAAATAGATAATCTAGATTAAATTGCATATTCAAAGGAGCATATAAAATGTTTCTTAGCATTAAGTTTTTGTTATAGTACTACACTTGAGAGAAACATTAAGGAAAAAAATCTTTCCTGATTATCTTCAGTGTGGTTAAAAACAAATATCTTTTACACAATGGTGATTAATATGAATCTGGCTTTACAAAATATTCTAATTTACCAAATTCCCTATTGAGATATGGGTGGGGAGAGAGGTTCTCTTTTCCTTCTTCCTAACTTTGCAAATCCTTCAGCTATGTGCTCACTAAGCTACCATTCACACTGAAGGTGTGAAACCACCATTACCATGCTACTCTATCAAGAACATTCTAAGACATTTTCTATAATAAAGATAAATATAAAAAAGTTAATATACACATTGCTGTATTTTACAATGTTTGCAACAAACTGTAAACTAACATAGTTTGAACCAACAGTACCCTCAGTTATACAAAACAAATTTTTAACACTGAGGATGGGTGATTCAAAAACACTAAAACAAAGGCATCAAATTAGACTATGTCTTTTTCTCCTCAAAATATATTTTCAAAACTCAGAATTCAGAAGTCTGGGTACTTTCAAAAATTCCTTTGCTGAGTTTCCCAGTTTTTTTGTTCATAAATTGCTAGTAGTTATTATAAATGTTTTAAAAAATTTTTCATCTTAATGCAAACGACCAGAGCAGAGAAATTGTGACATGGACAACAGGTTGGAAAACCCAACTCACTTAGCTTATAAATTTATCATGTAGTCCTGGAGGACAACTGTTAGTCTAGAGGTCCTTGGAAAATAAGTCTGATGTAGCCTTGTTCACCAGCCAACTGATGTGCACAAAAAGGACAGGCTGCATGGAAAGTGTGAGTACCGTGCGGAAGCGGGATCTGGGACCAATAGGCAGTTGTCTTTTCTGAACACACATGCCCACATGGGCTAAATGCATGGGTAGGAGGGCCGGCGTCCACATAAAATCCAGCTTCACATCCAAGCCACAGAGGGACATAGGGACCAACAGACCTACACATGGGACATTCACGATCTTTTCCGTCACGTTCTTCTTTGTTTCCCCAGTTATGATAGCCATGCACATGGCCGCAGTTTAGATACACCCATGGTTGCTTTTCATCCACCACATCTTTTCTCTTCATACTAGGAAACGCTAGTGTGTTGAACCCCACAGGGCACTGAGGTCGTGCTGCATTGATTTCCTGCCTTAAAGCTTCTAAATGTTTCACCGTAGGAGTGTGGGAAAGGCCTTCTGCAGTGCGCCAGAGCAATGTTGCCCCACAGAGGTCAATTAATGAGCCATCTTGTAACTGATTGGTTTCAACTTCCACCTACAGGAGATGAGAAACAAAACATACATTTATCACTGTTCTCGATTTTTTATTTAAGAGTTTTGGTCTTGAGCACTTATTCAGGAAATGAGACTTTGAAGGATTCTCATTAATTATTCAAGGAACTTTGATGGCAATCATGAAAAATGTAGGCTTGAAAATAAGTTGTAAAATATTGAACAGTAGTATCTTTTTACTTTATTGTAAAGACAATTTAATACATCTGGCTAATCAATGAGCAGTAGTTTCAATTAGGTAACTACGACCAAAGATACATACACAGGAGCATAAAGTTTCCTGATGGCGACACTGAAGTATTATCCCCTAAGAAAGTATCTGATAGTCAGTGTTTACCAGCAGTGTGGGTACTTTAAAGGTTCACAGACAACAGAAATAAAAATTTATTCTGGTGCTAAAAATAATTTGGAAAAATTTACAGTTTTTCCACAATATGCATTTTCTACGAACTTTTTGAAGATCCCTAGTATATATGAATTTAAAAAGCTTCTCCATCAAGTACTCAATAGAAGAGCTTGGGGAATTCCTTTGTCAGGATGCAGTCCCTACAGATGAGTGTAAGGAACAGTCCAGACCAGACCAGGTTATAGTACATGCTGGCATTTGTGTGTGAATCAAATGTAGGGGCAGGCCAGGCTAGGCCAGTTTATAACACCCACTGGCAGATATGAGAATCAGGATGAGGTGTGAGACAGGCTGGATCTGGCTACAGCATCAACCAATTAATGCTAGGGCTGGGACTGGGGGCTTACTGAGCTGGGTTGGACAGCAGCACTCGCCAGCGCAAGCTGGAACAAGGGCAGACCAGGTCAGGTTAGGCTACAGCACCTGCCGGCAAATGCAGAGGTGAGACAGGCCACATGCCAAACTGGGCTGCAGCACCCACCAGCACATGAGAGACTGGTGTGTGTGTGTGTGTGTATGTGTGTGTGTGTGTGTGTGTGTATGTAAGAGAGAGAGAGCGCAAGCGAGCAAGCCTGGTAGGGTAGTAGTGGGGACTCTATTGCTGGGCCACTGTTCCTGCTGGTGAGCATGAGAGCTGGGGCTGGGGGCAGACCAGGCTGGGCAGGACTACAACACCTGTTGGTCTCCATGTGAACTGGGTTGGGGGAGAGCCAGCCTAGGTTAACCAACTGCATCCATTGGTACAGGCATGAGCCAGATTAAGGGCAGATAGGTTGGGCTTTGCTGTAGAATCAGCTGGCAAGTGCTGGGACTGGGGAGCAAGTCCTGTTGAGCTAACTGCAGAACCACCAGGGGAGTACAATTACCCCAATGAAGCTTGACAGCAAACTTCTGGGCAAATAGAGACTGAGGTGGAGTGTGTCAACCAATGGACCTTGGAGGGGTTTCCTCATCCTTGGATCTGCTGTATCAATAGCATCTCAGAACTATCAAAACCACTTGAGCAGAACACTCAGAGCATGTTCTGCGCTGAGGATTCTGGGATGACACTGGTTACTGAGGCAGTTGGGAGGCTAGGTGTGGTCTCTTCCACTGTATTTCCCAAATGCAGGGAAAATAAAAAGAAAATGTGTAAATAATGGTTTCGCCCACCTGATCCCACTTTGATTAACTATGTAAAAATCATTAAAAAAAAAAAAAAAGGAAGCTTCTCCACCAAAATAAACTTATCTTTTCATTCCACCTTTCTAGGAACTGTTGGACTCACCCTCATAATTTAATAATAGTTTCTGGAAAAAACACATTACATTCATTCCAACACATCTTCTTATGTTTATTGTAGCCAAGTAAGTTAGAACTTACCATTTTCCCTCTCTGCTGAGCTGATCTGGTTTCACGTAGGCTAAAAACATTGCCACACACTGATATTTCTCTCCATATTCCAGGCTTAGAGTCTTCTGTGAACCCATTGCGTGGATGCATCACAAGAACGCCGTTCGTGGTTAAGCCATCCATCTGCCCATCTGAGGTCTTCCATTTGGCAGCCTTCTCCTAGAGAAACAAGAAAATGAGTTTCCATTTATTTGTAATTTGAAAACAGAAGCAGGTGTAAAAAATGCATCATTTAGGAAGAAAGCTTCTTTACCCCAAGAAAGATGTTTTTTGATGAATCAAATCCTGCGGCATAAATCCGTGCTGTGAATGGGGGATTTCGTTCACATATGATCCTACAGGCAAATCGTGATATAGTGCTTTGCACTGACTGTGTATCAGAATTACTTTGACTTCCGGGAACCGTGTCAGTTACCACAAAATCAATGGGACTTTCAGTAGACCGACCAATCTAAAGGAAAAAGAAACATCTATGAATCTATTCAAAGAACCCAGTGGAAAATTCATTTAAGAAAGGTACCATAAGGTGAAAACATTAGGCTTATGAAATTTCCCAAGCTCAAACTTACCATACTTAACTCCTGGGGCATCCAAATTAATCTTGAAAACTAATCTGTCAGACTTTCTCTGATGTAGTAATCATTTCACTTGATCTTAGCCAAAAGGCCGAGAAGCGATGATGTGGTAATCACTTAGAGTACAGAATTAAGTAAGAACTTAACAACAATATATGAAACCTTCAGGGCATGTAGCACTGTGTGGCTAAGATTTCTAGACAGCTGTCAACTGCAACGTTTTCTGAGAAAAATGTCTACTATGCATTATTATTTTTTTTTAACAATATAATTAACATGCAAGCCAAATCTCTTAAAGGTCTCCAGAACATTATATTCTGACTTCAAAATAAATATTTACAAATTGTCAGTTCATTCATGTATTTGTTATAAAGCAGTAACATAAATTTGAAAAGGTAGGTACTAGGAAAATACAGTGACCCTCTACAGAGCTGACAGCTCTTCAAAGTTGATCTTACAAGTTGAGATTCCCAAGTTCGTCATTATAAGCACACTTTGAGATAGAGCATTTTCTTGTTTTTAACCCATCATCAATTACAGTCTTTTATATTTCTTTTGGATAGTTGAGGGGCAAAAACTGTTAACAAAGTATCACTGAAACAAAAACCTTATTCAACCTGATAAAGGGCTTCTCTACCCTTCTTCAAACCAACCAGCCACTGTAGCACTTGAGCACCTTATCAACTTGTAATGTCTTTTAATGTCCCCCTTGTTTATGTCCCAGCAATGCACAGAATTAAAGTCTGAATATCTGGTGGATTGAACAATATATGTTTCTGATTAGTAAAAAGCAGATGTTCTAGGATGTTTGTAAAACCAGTTCCTCAAAGACTGACTTTTATCAGGGAAGTTCTTGAAATATTTAAGATTTTTTGATGTGGTTATATTTGAATTTCCCAATAGTATAATACTAAAAAAAGGCAAAATCAGTCTGAGATACTGTTAAAAAAAGGTGCAATTTATTTAAGTATTTTCATTAGATAATGAAGCCATTGTTCCACAACTTAGGATATCTAATGTAATCTTATTTTTTCCCCAATTAATACTGTAATTTTAAAATAAAGACTTATTTATTTTTATTGAAAAAGCAGATCAGCTATATGGAGAGAAAGAGAGACAGAAAGATCTTCCATCTCCTGGTTCACTCCCCAAGTGGCTGCAACAGCCAGAGCTGAGCTGATCTGAAGCCAGGAGCTTCTTCCAGGTCTCCGACACAGGTGCAGAGTCCTAGGTTTTGGGCTGTCCTCCACTGCTTTCCCAGGCCACAGGCTGGGGAGTAGAGCAGCCAGAACACGAACCAGTACCCATATGGGATCCCAGAGGCCACAAGGCGAGGATATCACGCCAGGCCCTAATGCTTTAATTTTTAACTTGCAGAATATCAGTTAACTTTGACTCTAGAAAAAGGGATTTAGTGTTGTAATACCTGAAACATATCAGTGTTGCTGTCATGTGTATATTCAACCACCACAGTCTGGGCCCGAGACAAGGTGTATGATATGCTGTGCTGGTCCTTGTTGCTTATTGCCTAGAATAAAAAGATTAATAGCAACAATTAGTAGGCAAGTCAATCAAATCAGATAATCTTTTCAGTACAAAGAGGTAAATCACACATATGACACACCACGCCACATATTTCTCCTTTAAAACTTAGGATAAAGGTCAGTAACTACTGAAAAATTAGAGCGGTGTGTCTCTTTCCTTTGATAATGTTTAATCATTTAGACTATATGCCTAAGAACCTTATTTTAAAAGTCACTGAAAGAGCAACAAAGTTAACCAGTAAGTCCAATTAACTGGTTGTTCAACCATTTTGTGAATCCACAGATAGCAAATGTTTGCCACATGCTGGGCAAGATACAGAAAAATTCATACAATGATTAAACATTATCAAAGCAAGAAGACACAATGCTTAGAAGTGTATCCGACTTACTTCAAAGATAAAAAGAACTTTTCAATTTTGTTTTCAGGCCTTTTCTATGTATATGAGTAGGAGATAATATCTAAGGGGGAAAAACCTACTCATTATACAAAGGAAGTAGAAATGGGCTACATGAAATGAAAACAGAGTAATTATACACAGCAAAGAAACTAAATTAATGTTCCTTAATTAGAAGTTTAGTTTATAAAGTTTTAGTTGATTCTAATTAGCAGCTAAACCTTAACACACAAAGCTTTAAGACAATATCTTAAACTGTAGCTGTGCGATTTTCAAGTATATAAACAGAATAAACTAGTACCCGAACACTAACTATTCAGCATCATCAAAGCTTAACAAATGCCATTTTTGCTTCTGACTTTTTTCGGGAAATTAAACTACAGATCAACTAAGATGCACATGTCCCTCTCCACCCTTTTAGTACAGATCATTTACAGGCACACTGTTAATACTTTTTACTACACATTTATGCTTTCACAAACATTACATACTTGTTTTACTGGTTTTACAACCTACAATTAAACTCAGCATTTAAGCAACTGACTTTTAAACCAAACAACTGCTCAATATTTTGACAGTTAATTCTTAATAGCTTAAAATATTTAAAAATACTGGCTTGTCTGTTCTTCGAGATTATGATCTTTGTTTTTTAGCCACTAATCCACTTAAGAAAGTTTTTTTGCTTATTTTGAGAATCAGAGTTAGAGAGAGGAGTAGAGACAGACAAAGAGAGACCTTCTATCCACGGGTTCACTTCCCAGAGGACTGCAATGGCCAGGACTGACAAGGCAGAAATTAGGAACCAGGAGCTTTAGCCAGTTTTTCCAAGTCTGTGGTAGGGGTCCAAATACTTGGGCCATTTTCTACTGTTTCTCCCAGGCCCTTACCAAGGAACTAGATGGAAGCACAACAGCCAGGGCATGAACATCACCCATATGGGATGTCAACATCACAGGCAGAGGCTTTACACACTACAACACCACAGCAGCTCCAAACACACTGTGAGCCTGGGAATAACTATTACAAGTTAAGTGCTGAGTCTTAATGGACTGGAAGGCAGTCACTCATCTCAGACGAATTCTAGACAAAAGAATCTGTACTCTTCATGACCTCACTAAACTTGAAAACTGATCCCATCTCTGATCTTAAAGATATCCGTTGCCATCTAAAGGTGAAAATTAGATAATGAAGAAAACACGAGAGGCATTAACAGTATAGAAATTAGAAGAAAAATATAGAAGTGAAGATAGTGTAGAATAGAAATATATTCCCCAACAATGGTTCTCAATCAGAAATAGTTTTAGTTGTGTAAGGGTACCCAAAAATATGTGAGAGTACATTCAGATTGTAAGAATGATTTGAGGATTCAACTGGTGTTGTATTGGTAGGACTGGGAATATTACACATCCTGCAATAAGTGGGACAGGCCTGCACAATGAAGAATGAGTACACTTAAAATGCTAAGAGTGTTCTTATAGGGAAGTGCTCTAACAGCCTCCTCAAATAGGAAAAAAAAAATATTTTCATGCCTGCTTAGCACAAAATTCCTTCTATGTGAACAAGCAAAAAGAAGTGGTCCCTTTTCTATATAGGTAGGCTCCCAAATAGTGCTAGAGGAGACCCAGTCACAGTTTAAGCACTTTGTTTTACAAATAAAGTGGATATAAAATAATGTGAGGGCAGGAGTTTTTAATCCTACTTATTGAGATGCCCATGATCCCGCATTAGAGTGTCCAGGTTTGATAGCTAATTCTGAATCCTGACTTCATATTCTGGTAGTCAACACTAACTGGTTTTTCCTGGCTGTAGGCTTGGGCTCCAGGGTAGCCATGGCCATAATTGATAACTGGAGAACAAACCAGCAAATGAGAGCTCTGTCTCCTTCTCTTTATAAACATAATATTTAAAAAGAAACATAAAACCAAAAACAAAACCAAAAATCCAATTAGACTTTAGTGACTGAAGCTGTGACTTAAAACAGGACCACATGTCTATAGCTCACTTGACTTACCCAAGACATACCCCAGATGGTCTGATACTAACGTACATTGCTTACCATAGTATTAAATGCAATCTGCATTAAAAAAACTGTAAGGAAGATCACAAAAAATGTAAAGATCTAAAATCCCCCCTCCTTTTCCTCTCACTTTAGGAAAAACTCAAGCATTATGAAATCATGAACCTGATTCTGAAGATTTTGGCAGAGGAACAAAAAAATCTAGGAGCATTAAATAAGGTCAGGGATTAAAAAATTATAGTGTAGATGCAGTTAAGTGTTTGCTTTCATAGCTTTGATTCAATCTGGCAATTAGTGAGGTCTTTGATAAGGTAATTTATTAAAAGCTACGAGAGTATCACAGAACAACTCTAAAATAAAAATAAGAACATCCAGAGATACATGGATAAAAATCCTCAGTTAAAAAATGAATTCATTCAAATGTGCTTCTTATATCTACATATGCTTAATCTATACGACATTCCTCAAGACGGCAAGACCGCTCTTGAAGAGTGGGAGTTCCCTATCTCTCATGGTACACAGCTGCACAACTAAAAACTACCACAGAGTCCTGGTCCTACCCCCAGCTCTTTTAATGATCTCTACCCACTAACTCTGGATTTGCCTTTTTAAAGATTCCCCTTCCATATGTCAGTCCGTCAAGTACCCTGTGTCTCCAGAGTCTCTTCTCCAATTCCAACAAAAGGAAATGTCTGAAGCAGAAATGTGAGGGAATGGTAGAAATACAAACAACATACAGAGTTTTTTCAGTTTTTCCAAGTTATTCAGTGTTTTTGTTTGTTTTTTTTACCTTTGCAGCCTGAGGAGTACATGCAATATGCACCGTGCTGGGCTTCACCCCATTTGCCTTAGGTCTTTTAAACAAAGCAAACCTACTTTTCCTCCTTCCTCTATCGCCATTTGGGAGAGACCCATTATACCTGATGGGGGAAAAACACAGTAAGAATCACAGAATCATAAAACAAATGTTTTATTCTGCTTTGCAAAATCAATTCTAAATTAATGATCCATTATAACATTATAATTATCTAAGGTTCTTTTTAGCAATTGTTGATCTTTGAAACAGCTGCCTGGGTGTGTCAAGCAAAATGAGATTCATTCTGGCCACATTTCAAGTTACAGAGAACTATCTTTTGGGTTACACATGACTTTGAATTACTCATATTTGCATTTACCTCCTCTTATACTGAAGCGAATCAAAAGCTAATTAATGACACACCTGACTCGTAACATTCCATATCTTCTCCCCACTCCATTTTTTTTTAAGGTGAATGTTTGTGCTAATACAACTTGTAAAAGTAGAGTATGTATTGTGCAAAATATGATCCTTAATTGTCAATCAAGTGTTTTAAATAGCAGAACTCTGAAATAAGGAATGCTCACAATTGTCTGTTAAGTCTCAGCTACCTGGATATACACATATAGTCACCCGATGTTGGCAGAACCTGTCCAATTAAGATGCCTGCTGTGTAATGGTTAAACATACTTTTGTTGTGCAATCCTATGACCCACTGTCTCCTTGATAACACATACCTGTCCTGAAAGGTAAGCAAGGAAGCAAGGAATGAATCAGTAGGCAAAGTTAAAAACAAACCTGAACCTGGGTGTTCACTATATTTCAGGCATCACCTCATTCAATTTATCCCCATAAAAACTTTGCAAACAAGATTGGCGTCAGTGTCTCCATTTTTACAGGTTAGGAAACAGGTTTGGAGAATCATCTTCTAAAAGTCACACATGAGACTGACAAGGCTGGAATCTGAATCCAAGTATGTCTGCCATGCTATTTGTTATTCTTCACTGCTTCATGAGGCACAGTAGTAGCCGCTCCTCAATCACTGCCCACTCCCTCATAATACCTTTGGTTTGTGATCTTCCTTAAACGGTTGGCCAGTCTAGGGGGAAATGAGGTAGATAGCTGCAACAATTTCTTTTTTTTTAAAATTCATTTATTTATTGGAAAGTCAGATATACAGAGAGGAGGAGAGACAGAGAGGAAGATCTCCGTCCGATGATTACTCCCCAAGTGAGAGCAACGGCCAGTACTGCGCCAATCCGAAGCCAGGAACCAGGAACCTCTTCCAGGTCTCCTATGCAGGCGCAGGGTTCCAAGGCTTTGGGCCGTCCTCAACTGCTTTCCCAGGCCACAAGCAGGGAGCTGGGTGGGAAGTGGAGCTGCCGGGATTAGAACCGGCACCCATATGGGATCCTGGTGCGTTCAAAGTGAGAACCTTAGCCGCTAGGCACACTGCCAGGCCCAAGCTGCGACAATTTCAACATTGCAAGACAAAGTGTAATTTGACTTGAAAATGTGGCTGACATGGAAGAATCACATTTTAAACTTGAGAAGAGAGCTATTGTCACATACAAAAATTAAACTAACACTTGAAATACAACTTGGTAATAGGAGAGAGTGCTTGCTAATCTTAGTATCCTTGCTGTTAGGTTCCAAGTAGAACTTGACATGAACGTAAATGAACTTGACATTCAGGCTGTGTATGGCCACCAGCCCCCTTGAGGGGTTCCTCACTGCCCCTTACTACCGTCCTCTGAGGGGCTCCCCTCATTTCTCTTTGGGACCTAAGCTCTCTGATCCTACTCACTGTGCCTTCTTGTAGTATTCAAAGCTCTTTTCTAAGTAGCAATGAAACTCACAACCCCATCTAGTTTTACTTCTTCCAGAGAGTTGTTGGAAGAAACATTGTTTGCATCTGAAGACACTAACTGCCACATACAGAGACAATTACTACTGCCAATAATCAACTAAAAAGCTTCCAGGATAAGTAACATAGTTTTTAAACCATATAGGTTTTCAACTCTGTTCCTGAAATGACTCTCAAATTTCCTAGAAGAAGAATTTAACTTAGAATAGTTTTTTGGTATTTAAAACTATTTGGTATTTAAAGCTATTTTAAAACTATTTGGTATTTAAAACTATTTCTGCTGATCATTAAGATCAGCACAATTGGATGGCTCCTTTCATCCAGAAGAACTGCACAGATGGATAGTAAGCACAACCCAAAAATCACCTCAGAGGAGCAAAGGAACAAATAAGTACTGACCTACATAAAAGGACCCAAAGCAGGAGACAGGGAAAGAGATATCTGATAAAGTTAGCTGAGGCAAAGTTTTTTTTAAAAGGATGGAGAAGACAAATGGAATAACTACTACAACAACAAACATGGTTTTCCAATTCATCTTTGAGAAGCTTTGCCCTTACTGAGAGTGAGGCAAAGTTTATGTAACATTTCGGCACTTACAGAAGGTAGCATAAATATGAGAAATAGAAGTTTATTGATTGGGTAATAATCTTACCCTGTAGTTTTAAATTCTGTTCGATAGTAGTTAAAGACACATTTTCTTAAAAAAAAAAACTAAACTAACTTAGATATCAGAATTATTATACATTAGTCAATTTTATGGCTTATCAGATGGAAAAATCTTACCCTAAGACAATGAGTTCACCATATTTTACTGGTGCCTTGGAAGGATGATTTTCTTGTTCAGGAGAAAACATGGGCTTGGCTGTCTTTTTCAAATTCTTGTTCACTGGTCAGGAGCCTTGAGACACCTTTTGCATTATTTCCTAGAGGGGAAAAGGTAATGCAAACAATCAGTTTCTGTTTAAATAAAGAAGGTACTTTCTATAGTGCTCTAGAGCACAATATTACGCAAAGTATAACATGTGCATGTGACATTTCCCCAGTAATGGTTATCTGTCCCAAGCAAATAGAAATTGTAAATTTGGTAACTTCCATTTACAGGAAGACATACCTTTTCCTTATTATTTCTGCTAAGCACAATTAATAACCCAGGATATTATGTACAGAGCATAATGAGACAGTGAAAAGAACAGAGACGGCAGGCCAATAGAAACATCATAACTCAAAGAACAACACAGTGGTGAGTTCTCTCTTGCTCCTTTTTTCCCCTTCAAAAAATGTATCCAGAATTGGAACTGAAGAGGTTGATAACCTGGGAATGTCAACTGTCACAAAGCCACAATGGCCTGGCTCTTTTTAAACAAAGGAACAAGAAGGAAATAACCCAACAAGACAAACAAAAAAAAAATTTTTTTTTTTAAATTTATTTACTTGGGTGAAAGAAAGGAAGGATGGGAGAGGTGGGAAAGAAAGGGTGAAGGAGACAGAGAAAGACATTTTTAATCCACTAGTGTACCCCCCAAATACCCAATGATCAGAATTGGGTTTGGTCAAAGCTGAGAATAAGGAATTCAATCCATGTCTTCCAGATGAGTGGCAGGAATGCAATTTTTGACCACCACCACCACCTCCCACGGTCTGCATTATCAGACAGCAAGAATGGGGAATTGGAGTAGGGTGTCCAACCCGAGCATATTGAAGTCGGACAGGTATTTTAACTGTTACGTTAATCACTATACTAAAACCTGCCATACGCAGAAAAACAGATAATTAGCTATTCTATCAGCTAAACAGAGAATACTGTGGCATCACCTTCCTCTGACAGACATCAACCAGAGCTAAATAGGAAGCCTGAATTTTCATTTCATGAACTCTAGTCTAGTGCCTTCAATGGCAGTGTAAGAGTAGACCAAATAGGAAATCAGAATTGGAAATAGTCCAGATATTCTGTCTATTCCTTTTTAGACAATTAAGATACCACCAAACATTCAGGCATTGTTGTGATACATTTTTGACCAACACTCTCAAGAGTTACACACTTAAGAGCAACAGTTGTATTGAAATTAATATTAAGTTAGATTGCAATGAGTGCCTTATTTTATTTTGGATTCCTGTTAATTATTTTTTACTTCAAGGAAATGATGCTTTTCTACATATAGTAGCATAAAATTTCCTCTTAAAAATAAGCTTATGCATTAAAAGAAGTAAATCAACTTAAAATAGTAAGTATATGGACATAGAAAAAACCTACAAGTGTTCTAAGAATGCTTATATTTGATTGACGTTAGCATATCCCACAGCTAGCAAATATTAGCTTCTGTTCTAGTTCCAGTTCTTGCTGAACGAAACAATCTGTTTGCTCATCTCTAAAAACGAAGGGACAAAAGTGGAATAAAGAGAATTTTAGAGTTGGAAAAAACTCAAGTAACCATCTGCTCTTGAAATAAGAATTCACAAGTAATGTGTACAGCACTATGGGTTTAGGTTTACTGCATTTATAGCAAAGGAATAATGTTTAGCTTAGACAAAGAACTAAATAAGAGAAGGACTGGCATGTATCTCTCATTCTGTAATTTCTAGAGTTCTTGGCTAAATTAGCCAAGAAAAGCCATATTGCTTTTTAATCCTGCAATATTTTATTAGCAACATTGAGGTTTCAATCACAGGTTAAGCTGCCACCTGCAACACAGGTATCCCACAGGAGCAAGGGGCCATGTCCCAACTGTTCTATTTCTTTTGCAGCTCCCTGCTGATGTGCCTGAGAAAGCAGTGGAGAGTGGCACAAGTACCTGAACCCCTGCCATCAGCCTGCGATACCCAGACAGAATGCCAGGTTCCTGGCTTTGACCTGGCTCAGCCGTGACTTCGTGGCCATTTGGGGAGTAAATGAATAGTGGATAGATGATCTGTCTCTGTAACTCTGCCTTTCAAATAAATAAAATAAATCTTTAGGCAAAGGAACAAACTGAAACCTGGCTTCTGTTTGTATCTCTAACAATGTAAAACCTAAGATAAAAAACTTAATATTATCACTTATTTATATATTTAAATGACATAAGACAATTTTCTTAAATTTAGAGTGACATAACCATAGATAATGACACAGACCATTAATATCACCAAATGATATATAATGGGTACTATTAAACTACAAATAAAAAGTGCCACAACAACTATTTTCCCTGAAACCTTTCATTATAATTCAAACACATGTCATGTCAATAAGTGATTATTGAAAAGAAGCTGCTGGAATCTTTACGTGTGTTCTGAAGATTTATGATCTTCAAAAACGGTTAAGAATCTGTAACAAAGCCTAGTAGCTAGACAATACTTTCTACATTCACCCTCTTTAAACATTCTCTCTACTTTTTACATACTTATTTTTGCATTTTTATGTATTTGAAAGGCAGGGAGAGATAGACTAAAATCAAAATATCTTTCATGGGTGGTGTTGTGGCATAACAAGTTAAGCCAACATTTGCAATGTCAGCACTCTTTTATGGGTGCCAGTTTGAGAACAGGCTGCTCCATTTCGATCCTGATCCCTGCTGCAGTACTTGGGGAAGCAGTAGAAAGCCAAAGGGCTTGGGCCACTGTACCCACAAGGAGACCTGGTAGAAGCTCTGGGTTCCTGGCTTAGGCCTGACCCAGGCATGGTCCAGTCCTGGCTGTTTCAGCCTTCTGGGGGAATGAACTAGAAGATGGGACATCTCTCATGTCTGCACTTTCTGTAACTCTGTCTTTCACACAAACAAATAAATCATAAACAGAGAGAGATTTTCCATTCCCTGGTCTACTCTCCAAATTCTCAACAGAAGGACTGGATTAGAAAACAGCGTTAGGTCTTCCATATATGTGTAGGGACCCAAGTATTTCAGCCAATGCCTCCTGTCTCCCATGGTATGAAGCTGCAATTAAAAGCAGAGCCAGAATTTGAACACAGTGCAATTATATGCAATCTTGGCTTCCCAACACCATCTTTAAAAAAAAAAAAGGAAAGATTTTAAATTGAGAAACAGACTTACAGAGAGAGAAGCAGAGATAGAAAAAAGGTCTTGTATGTTCATTACACAAATGGCCGCAACAACTAGAGCTAAGCTGATCAGAAGTCAGGGGCCAGAAGCTTCCTCTGCATCACCCAGGCAGGTGTAGAGCCCCAAGGAGTTGAACCATCTTCCACTGGTTTCTCTGGTCACAGGCAGACAACTGGATCATAAATGGAGCAGCTGGGGCTCCAAATGGTGCTCACGTGAAATGCCCAACTGGAGGTGGAACATGGCACCAGCCCCTCAACAGCATCTTAACTACTGTCCTCTTTATATTTTTAAAATCTCAACAAAATTTAATGTTTCAGAGTTGGGTGCTGTGAAACAATGAATTAAGCCACCAACTGGGATGCCTGCATCCCAATCAGATTCCCTGAATTTTTCTCCTGTCTCTGCATTCAATCCAGCTTTCTATTACTAGGCGCCAGGGGAGGCAGCAGATGATGTCTCAAGTAATTTTGGTCTCTGACACAACATGGGAGACTTGGAGTTCTTCACTCCTGGCTACAACCTGGGATCAGCCCCAGTTAATTATGGGCATTTAGGAATGAAACAATGCAAAATTGTCTTTAATTTTGATCTCTCTCCTCTCTGTCCCTCCACTTTTCAAAAACATTTAAAAACAATACTAACAAAGAAAAGTAATTCACAGAATTAATTCCTAAGGTTTTACACTTGAAAATTTGAAATGGCTGTATACATAAAACAAGAGCAACAACAACACAAAACCTGAATGCCTGAACTACAGGCTCTACTTCTGGTCTTCAATTAAATTGTCTGAGCCCATGTAGTTAGTTCTATTCCAGGATGATCTAGTACTAAAACCATAAAGTAGAATCATTTACTACCCAAGACTGAAAAAAAAAAATACTGGAGAAAATCATGCTCACACACCTGGCTTTTCATAATAGCTATTACTTTAAAGTTCTGCTTCATCCTTAAAAATTGAATATATTGCTTTCATTGGCAGAAACTAATCTTCCAAGGGAAAGAACATTCTTCTGGTATCCTGTATCAGAGAAGCGATTTTAGTCTCAGTTGCCCTGCTTCCAATTATGTTGATGTGCCCGGGAAAGCATTAGAAGATCGTCCAAGTACTAGGAACCTAGCTGTCCACATAGGAGACCTGGATGGAGTTTTGGGCTTCTGGATTCCTCCTGTGCCAGTCATGGCCCCTGCAGCCAGTTGAGGAATGTCCCTTACCCACTCTCTATATCACTGGCATGGTATTATTTGCTGTGTGTTGGGAAAACAATTATAAAAATCACTTCTTAAGAACAATCTTATGAATTTGATACAACATATTCTCTCTCTCTGGAAGGTGGATTTTATAGACAGGAAAGGAAAGACAGAGCTCTTCCATCCCTTGCTTAACTCCATGAATGGCTGGAACAGGGACCTGAGCCAATTTGAAGCCAAACTCCAGGAACTACTTCCGGGTCTTCCATGCCAGTGCAGGTCCACTGCTTTCCCAGCCAATAAACAGATGGTGGAGTGGCCCACTTGGGATGCTGGTGCTTCCAAGCAAAGGATTAGCTTGTTATGCCACTGCATTGGCCCTGCTGACCCAACATTTTAAGCATTTTTTTTCCTTAAAGGCAAATGTGGTACAATTATTTTCCATATCTAATCTTCCCAAAGGATAAATGTACAGTCAATTTCACCTAAAAAAGAAAAACGTTGAAATAAATCTGCTCCTTGACATAATATTTTCCTTTATTGATTACACTCTACACAACCTTTAGCGTACGAACACAACAAAATTCCTGCCATGAAAGAAAAAACAAAACAAACACCAAACAAAGGACAAAATAAATCTTCTGAAGATGTTTACTCAATTTCTGAACAGTTCTACTTTGGCAGGCAAGGGGGTAGGC